CGTGCTGACTGCGCACGTCCGCGGCTGACCAAATTACATCCGACTGACACAAATATGTGTCAGTCTCAAATATGCGTTATATCTTGGCTTAACACAGCTTCACGCCAAAAAGAAAAGGCAAAAGTTTATGCAGAACCCATTCAATCCAAGAATTTATACTTTTTTAGTACAGGAGACTTTGATCCACATTTAAAAAAAAAAAAACTTGTTTCCTGTATCTGGGGAGAAAGCAACCTGGTGTAGTTTTAAAAGAAAAAATTAAATTGAAGAATCACTAGCCAAAAATTTGGGGGGGGGGGATGAAGAATTTTATTAGAGGAATTTAACTTTATTAAGAGCAAGACCCTTTAAAGAAATTGTCATGTAACGCTTATAACACAGGGCTTCTTGTGGGCAGAAGCTAATTTTTGCTTAGCTTTAGAATCAATGAAGAACTACATGCAAAATAAACAAATAAGAAAAGACCTCATTTATACAAAAGAAGAAATAATCCCAAAGACCAAACTTTTTCAGTTCAAGAGAACTTTGCTGCTAATGTTTATCCTTCCTAATGGTGCTCCACTTAGTTTGGCAAAAAGCAGATTGGTGTAGGATTAAAATCAGTCAAATCAGACCCTACCTTTTTTTATTCACTGTTAAAATGCTTGGCTTAGTTAGGCACAAATTAAGTTCGTTATGGGAGTACAATAAATTAAGGACTTCACAGCAGAAACATCAGAAGCAAAGACCGGATGTAATTTGGTCAGCCGCGGACGTGCGCAGTCAGCACGTCCGCGTCTGACACATGCTCATTCCCAAGTCAGCCGCAGACGTGCCCAGTCAGCACGTCCGCGCTGACACCTGCTGCTCCCCTGAATTTTTTGCAGACAAGTTTCTGGTGGAATTTTTAATTATGTGGACGTGCCCAGTCAGCACGGCCGCTATAGAATGAGAAACACCCCCTGTCAGAGGTACATTTGACGGATTGTTTTTTTTTTTTAACGTATAATCTAAGAAATTAGCCGTGTCTTTTGCTCGCAATATGTGACCGCCACAAATTTGGTTTTAATATTAATATATACTGAATTATATTAGTTTAAAGCTTCCCCTCACGCTCCAGTTACAAGTTAATTGTTTCCTTTTGCTATTATGATCGTGTTTTATTTTCTAATATGTCTATATCTAATAAATATAAATCGCAAAATAAAATATCTCCATATCTAAGAAATATAAAATATAAATCAATTATGAACCAAATATACATGTCAACAAAAATATGGATTTTTTTAAAAAAGGTACACATCAGGACAGATTGTGTGTGTATCTAATACTATTGATTTAAAGCTTTTACGTTTTAATATTGGCAAAGTGATGATTAATTCTGTGTTTTTTTATATATAACTGATTTTTAGCCAAATATAAATATTGACAAGAATATTTATTTCCAGAAATTTATATATATGTATATATATCGACACAAATTTAAATTTTGTTTGTATCTAATAAATGTTTATATATATATATGTATACATATGGACACAAATTTAAATTTCCTGTTTATCTAATAAATATTTTTTACCTTCTCAATTATTAATTTAAAGTTTTTGCGTCTGTTTAGCAAAATACATAGCAATTCCTCTACGATGCCACCGTATGCTATCAAATTTTACGTGGCTCTTCTCTGGTGATTAAAGGTTACGTGGCGCAAAATTTATTTTACGTGGTTACAGATTACACGTTACACCTGTAGGTACAGCTCATGTCGTGTACTTAAAGATAGAGATATGCTTGTTTCATTCGGTTCTTTCACATATTACATACAGTCATAGTGGACTTGCAATCGTTAGTCACATTTAATGCATGCACGTGCTTCGTTCTGCCACAAACTCTTTGTATAGTTGAAGGTTATGCATTCCTTCTGCATTAACCTTTTCGCTCTCAGTTTCTTTCATTTGGTTTTCTTCATCTACGGTCTAGCAGCTATTCTAATGCTTTAGAGATGTTTCTCTTCTCTCTTGCGCCTTTCTGTTAGCTCTTTATTTTCTATTGGCTTTCCCTGATCCCTGTGTCAAATTCTTAGCTTCGCGCCGGCTTTAATCAGGTACGTCCTTGTTTTTCTTTACTGCATTTCCTGGTTGACCTTTTCCTCGTTTGCTCTTAGTTAATCTGCAGTTACTTATTTTCTTTTCTTGTGGTTGAAGTTATGTTTCTATCATTTTTTTCCTCCCGATTAATTACCTAAGAATATCTGTTTTGTTTCCATGATTTTTGTGAAAAAACTCAGTACTTCGCGCAGAATCATTTTTCTTTGTTGCAGCTTTTTAGTCTGCATTAACTCTGAATTTTTTTACGTTAGCTGACTCCATAAACTATTAACAAATTTAAAAAATCTCCTTACTTTTCCCATTTTGGTGTATTTTGCTCATGCTCACTGTGTGTGCCTTTTCCATGATCATACCAGTTCATTTAGTGCACCCAAGTTTTCCACGATCCTATTAGCTGTTTATTATTCAGGTAAAGCAATCCTTTCTTCGCTTAATTGCTTCTCCTTTGCTTACTGCTCAGTCTATTCTGCCTTGTTCTATTTGATTTTGCATACCATGTTTGTTATCTCTTTGCCTATTGAATAGCGATCATCTATATATAAAAAAGGCACATGCTTTTTGCTTTCATATTCATGATCTGCGAAATTTCCAGAGACTTTTACATAGTATGGGCACCCCGCGACAGCCGCGGGGTCGAATGCCTAGTACAATTTGAAAGGGTTAACTTAACCTCCAATATCAGGCTCCATTTTGCACTTTGGTTCTCATAATTCATTTAATTAGCTATTTAGACCTCAATAATAGGTCAAAAAACATTTGCTTCTAAGAATTGTGCAAAGGATCACATTTTTAGCCCTTAAACAGTTAAACGTTACTAAAACATTTTAGCCCTTTAAGAATTGGGCAAAAAAAATCACCAAAAACATTTTCCCCTCTAAGAATTGGGCAAAAAACATTTTTAGCCCTTAAATTCTTTGACTGCAAGTTTCATTTAAATGCCACAATAGTTAACGGTCAACTTTGTCGTTGAAAGGAAAGAAATTTAATTTCTTATATAAAAGATTAGAACTAGGCTGTGTTAACAAACATTACAAAATAAAGGATTAATAACACTTTGCTCCCCTGAATTTAGGAGATTGTCACACTTTACCTTTCTCAACCTTAAATATATATGTATATATATATATATATATATATATATATATATACTTTATTCCCATAAAGACTAGTCAAAGTTAAAAATAAAAAAAATTGAGTGAAATAACATTATTTCCCTTTTATTCATGAAATTATTTATAACTTAATATCATTTCCTTTCATTGCCAAAAGATTTATAACTTCTTTATCATATCATTATTAAAAAAATCAAATGAAAAAAAGTTAAAGAAGGTTAATATTTAGTTTATATCCTTGACATTTTTCCTGTTGGATTAATGTTTACTTCTATATATGTTTTGTTCAATTTATTAGACTTTAAGTCAAACAAAATTAATAAATAACATAATACTAAAAATAAGTGTAATTATCAAAATTTATATGAAAAGGTAATATCAAACTCATTTTTCTAAAACAAATTTTTATTATTTTAATTTATTTAAACTTCTAGACTAATATTGTTGTCATTTTTCTATTTATTAAATTAGTCCAATATGAAATTCGTAATCAAATTTGCTAAAAATGGTTGATATACCTCAGTTTTAAACATAAAGAAGGAAAATGGAGAATAAATGAAATTTTATTTTCTTGACAAGAAAAGGCAATAATAGTAAACTATAAATACATCAATAGAACATGACAATAGTTTGAGCCTAAAATTTCACATAAACTAAAATAATAAAAAACTACATTTTTAAACAAAAAAAGTTTAGTATTACCTCTTTTTGAAAAAGAAATTTGGTATTTGTGTTTATTTAGTATTGTGATATTTATTCTTTTTTATTTGACTTAAATTATAATAAATTGAATAAAGAATATATAAATGTGAATGCTAACCACTGATAGAAAAAATTTTAAGGATATAAACTAAATTTAAACATTATTTAACTTTTTTTAGTTTGATATTGTTGTAAGTTGATATGATAGAGAAGATGTATACTTTTTTAGCAACCAAAGGAAATAATACTAAGTTATAGATAATTTTATGAATAAATGGGCAATAATCATTATACTCACCTTTTTGTATTTTTAATTTTGACTAATTGTCATAGGGGTAAAGTATATGATAAGCGCAGGATGTGCTTGTAAGAATAATCTATTTGCTACGCCGCAAGTTTTAAATTTATAAATTTCTAAATATCCCGTATACTTCTACAAGTTTACAAGTCTCGTTTGAATATAAGGTATTAAGAGTCGTCGATTCCATAAGAAAGATTGATCAACTATCGACACTATTCAAACTTCTTTATTATTTATTATCAACAAATTGGAGAAAAGTAAAACTATGCTAGAAAATAATAACGGAAAGGTCCTCAAGTCAAGGTATCTCTAACTACTCAAGCAAATGCAATTCTTAGACAATTGAGCACTACTATCTCGACTAGTTATGGTGTAATTTCTTAAGATATGTGAAACCCGCTTTCACCAGTAAATCAATTGTACTTATAGCTAATCCATACCCACTTTCATGGACATAAAGTTAGCTATAGATTCATTTACTTCTATGAAATCACATGGAATAATATCACAAAAGGTACAAAGGTGCATCTCTACTTTCATTAGTGTACTCCTTAAATTTAGTAATTTCTTAAACTAGTGTTAAACTCCAAATTGTTGTTGCAATTCAACACCTTGTGATTATCATAATTAATGGCCAGTTGATCATAATTATATAAGCAAAAGTATTAAATAACATGCTTAAAATAATTGTTGGGCTTGGATTTTATTGGTGGGATAAAACCGAAATCCAACAATAATAGTATCAAATAACCAAGTAATCAACACAAAGCAATCATAAAAAATTCAACCAAGGCATAAACTTTAAAATAACATCATAAACATAAGATTCGTGAATTGCCAAACAATAGAATCCAAGCCAGCAAAAAGTGAAAACAACAACAAAATTATACAGACAGAATGAGATAAAGGGAAACAAAGGGCAAAACAACCTAACAACGAAGCCTAGCGTCTGCCTGAAGGAATCAAGATCTCACTCTTCATAATGATTTCTTCTTCTCTGAAAAAGCATGGTTCATCTTCATCAATTCTTCCCATTCTTCCTACACTAACACTATAACATCTAAACAAATCATCAAAAGCATCCACCTTGCTATTTCTCTGACATAATCCTCCCTTATCAGAATTATTATCCTCATTGGTCTTGGAATTCATCAATCGATGAAGCTCCTTCCATTTCTCATCATTTTTCATAGCGTTCTTCAAACTTGCTCCAAAATATTTTGGCATGTGGGATACCCGGGGAGCAGGCATGGCCATCATCATGTTGCTACCATAGACAACCCTTCCATCGAATTCAATCATGCTTTTAACGTAAAAATCTCTAGCCTTGGCTAGAAATCTCTTTGGTGCGGCAATGTATCGCCTTAGCTTACTTTGCCTACCCTCTTTGCTTCTCATCTAGCTTAGTATTTTCTTGTAGGAACTTAAAGAGCAAGAGAAAGAAGTTTTTGGTACGGTGTGGGGAGGGAGGTAAAATAGTTTATATAGATTGATTTCATTGTTTTGACTATTGACATGTTTGGTTGGTTTGAAAGAGAATTCACAAATGCTTGTTTGGAATTATCAGAAGTGAAGAAGATACTTTGAAGAATATAGAAACATACGGGAAATGGAATTTTTCGGGTCATAGTTGCTGATTGGCTGTTTTTGGCTTTGCAAAGTTTATTTTAGTCTTCGTGTTGTCATACAACAATTAAAAGCTTTCGTACAGTGAATATGTTTTACACATTTAATATAATCTAATTAACAATCAAGAATTTAAAGTTCTATCCTAGGAGAATTGGGTTCTCAGATTTTTTCTTCTCATTTTCAACTGAAAAATAAATAACGAATGAATTCTTTATGACTTTATGTCTTATGTGATTTTTTAGGTAGTTATTTTTCCCGTTTTGTTTGAATTAATATTATGATGAACAAATGAAATTCTTTTGCCTCAAAGAGATTGTTCTCATATTTTGGGGTTATGACCAAAAGAGCCAAAAAAATGGATATAGTCCGGAATATTTTGTACAATTAGAATTACTGGGAGACAACAAAAGCAAAAGACTATAAAATACTAGTAAAATATAGTTGGCTGCCAAAAGCTGCATTTGACTATTGCTTTCTCTACTTTCATGCCCATTCTTTACCATTAGACCTTCTCTTCTCGGAAAATGATGATATCAAAGTTCTTTGAATGATGCCCAGCTTTGGCATTTTCCTACTCCATACTTGGATCTTTTACACTTAAGGTAATTAATGGAGGATTTCATAATAATCATCTAGTTATATTCTTATCAAAAAACAATTTTTTAATTGTAATCCATTATCATGTGACTGGTATCAGTGATACATGATGAGATAATTGTAACCGAACCAATAAGATTTACACCTTCAAAGTCTTGTGGTGACAATTGGTTTGTGCCTTGCACTTTCAATTCTCATAACTTAGTAGCTAGCTAAATTTCAATACCGTTTTCTATTTAACCAAGTTGGTAATTAATTAAACTCGATCCTTCGGTTTGAATTGTATAATCGAAAAATAATTGATAAACATTAATGAGTTAGGTCATTGCATCAAGTATTTTTGGAATTAATTAATATACTGCTCAAGAAAGCAACTTAAAAGCATTTGTAAAAATTGCATGCAGATAGAAAATTTCAAGCAGAAACCTATAAAAAAAAAAATTGCACATCTGGGAACTGAAATCAAGTCAATTTCCTAGCAGAATAAGCCAAAACCAAGAAATTAAGTTTCAACCTAGATAGTTGTATAAGCTATTGTGTCAATACCCAAAATTTGTAGTTTAAATTTAAATTTAGATGATGTGGCATTCATCTAACTTCCCAAATGTATATATTGTCGGTATAGGAAATATTAATGGGTGGGGTTAAATCCACACCCCTCTAGTCTAAATCCACACCTTTTACACCAAAATGTCTATAAAGCCTATATTATTTATCAGGATTTCATAGGAACTTTTTCAATACCAAAATTAACCTTTTGTGGTGAGAAAAGTTGGCGCCAATTAAGTTTATTTTTTCCCCACTCAATTGCGTCCTTTCATCATTCCTATTCCTTACCTTCTGATATTCACGAACTATAACAACAACTATTATCATCAGCTAGAGAACTTCAAGCTTCTAGTTCCAAGTGAATATGAAATCATTGCCATGATCATCATTTGTTTTTTTATTATCAATAGATATTTGAAAATCAACTATCACTCTTCAATTTTGATCCTGAAATTTTTGTTTTTTTTATTATCAATAGTATTTTTCTGGTAAATTTTTGCTATGCTTTGGTATATTTTAGTTGATGATGATAGTTGCTACTATAAGTTTTCAGTATTGGAAGCTAAGGACAGGGGACGATAAAATGATGCAGTAAAGTGGGGGGAAAAAATGAACTTGATTGGCTCCATCTTTTTCCACCACAAAAGATTAGTTTTGGTATTGAAGATGTTCCTATAAAATCCTGATAAATAGTGTGGGTTTTATGGACATTTTGATGTACAGGGTGTGAATTTAGACTAGAGGGTTGTGGATATAGCCCTACCCAATGTTAATTCATATTGTTTTAGCCGACTTGCAAATTGGGATATAAAAAGATTCAGTAAGCACAACAGCTTTTACCAGATGCAAGAGGCTTTTATGCTCCAACAACTTTTTCTTACCTCAATGTCATCAAAAGTTGCCTGAAAAAAAAGTCTTCAAAAGTTTTAAAGAAGGGGTAAGAACCATTTCATTCATGATAGAAAACATTTGATGGTACATATTTTTGTCTATCCTTTTTAGCATCATTAGAAACTATTGACTGAGCTATTTTAATTTTTTTAACAAGTATACTTTTGTACCATAAAGCAGAGTGTTTAGGATATCTTGTAAACAACTCGTCATTGTAATCCACAAAGTGGATGCCAAAGCGGATTGAGTAGCCGAAAGCCCATTCGAAATTGTCCATCAATGACCATACAAAGTAGCCACTCACAGTGACTTCAAATTGCCTGTCAAATTTGATATCAATCAATCTTGATTGTGCTTGTCCATTGATAATAATATTCTTCTAAGTAGATGAATTGTTTTTGACTAAATAAAAAGTTAACAAACAAATGCATTGGGACTGTTAAATTAACTAGATTGCTGTTGATGCACTTGGGTAATTGGATTTTGACTTGATGAATACTTCTACCTCATAAACATTTATTATCATCTTCAATTTTCCTAGGAGTTTAATAAATTCTTTTTTGGAGTAAAATATTTTTTAGTATTTTTCTTATATAGTGTGGAAAAGTATAAAGTTAAAGGGAGATTATAACTTGGAAATCTCATAGATATTATGTCTGCATAGTTTTTCCTGGACAGATCAAGTATGATATGAGTCATCTAAAAAAAAATATTTGACAAAATTTATAAACTCACTTGAATATTTTGATGAAGATTAAATAAGTAAAAATACATAAAAAAAAAAGAGAAACAACAACAATTAAGAGAAACTTACTCAATTGCTTGTAGGATACAACATAGGTGGTCATGGATATAGTCTTTTCTTATGTCGTCTTTGATAGCTTCAAGAATTGTCATACTGTCATTTCTTGCCTCATTAAGCCCTAAGAAACAAGTTATGGAGAAGGTAGAAATATTAAAGTACGTAAATAGTTAATTCTACTCTATACCCCTATTTATTCAAATTTCACTTATTTCATTCATAGATATTTTTTCCCCCTTAAAATTTTTGTATGTGTCACATGTTGAACATACTATTTGCATAGCTAGCAATTATGACTCTCTCTCTTTTCTTAACATGCTACATAAAGATAGATACATAGTCATTTGTAAGCACAACTAACTAGTTTTTGTACTATATATCTTTCATGTGAATAATTTCGTTTCTAATTTGTGTAATCCAGTGAGGAATTGAAGTAAATTGGCACCATATTGATATGATATCACCAAAGGGGCATCACCAAAACAAAGTGCAATATGAAATTTGTTTTAGTTGCTAATTTTGAAATTTTAATTTTGTCCTAAATCTCCAGTTTATGAACACGAAGCAATAAACATGTATTTACTTTCAAACCGCAAATGAATTTGCTATTACCGTTTTCAGTAATGTAAATGGTGGGATTGTTGTATTTCATCTTCATGTAGTTCAACAATTCTCTGAGTCCCTTTGGGTAGATATGGAGCCAACTTCCAATTACTGATACTTCACCGATGGGCTTATTGTCTCTCTCAGCTAATACAAAAAAAAAAAAAAAAGGTCAAATTTGTGGTTACATTACAAAGATGCTAACATAACTATGGTAATTACAATAATCTCCATGAGGTTTCTCAAAATTTGAAAAGCTTCCCCTGAATTTTTGGAAGTACGTAACCTCCAATTTGAAGGCCAATAATGAGTTCAATTAGTATAGAATCAACCTTGATTACATTAACCATGAATTTCTGCCAAAATAATTTTAACTTCACAAAATAAGAAAAGCTTACTCTGATTTATAATATTCGAGCGAAGACATTGTATTCTCGACAAATCGCAGTACGGATAGTCTAAGGTTCCCTTAAAACATGTATTAATTGAATGTATATTTAAAAAAAAAAGGGGTTTGAGCTATCCATACCTACAATATCAACCTCAGAATCATTGATGTAGCTCATGCTAGATGAATTAGGCTTATCCAGAACATATCTGGAAGTGTAGTAGTTCAATCCTATGAAGTCAAATGACTGTATCAACAAATCCCTTTCAGTGTTGCTGAAATTTGGCAACCGATTGCCAGCACGAACTCTCATGCTTTGCGGATATTGTCCAGATGTTAATGGCTGCATAAACCTAAAGGTAAGAAATATTAATTGTGTGAAGTTCTTTAGGTAGATCCAAAAAGAATTAAAAGTGGGAGAAGGATATTAATTATATGTGTAAAAGCGGAAAAAATATTGATATATTTCTTAATCCCTTCAATATGGAAGTGATGACCTCAAATTGGAATTCAGGTTGTGGAAAAGTTGAAACATGAATTAAAAAAATCGATTTCTAATTATGTAACTAATCCTTTTAACTTAAATTTCTGTAAAGAGAATGGACAATGTTAATGGCACTTTAAAAAATTTTATTTACACTCCTCTCAAGTACCGTTTGGATTGAAGGAAAGGAAGGGAAAGAAAAGGAAAGAATACTAATGAAAAAGAAAGGAGAGGAGAGTAAAGGAAAGTGGTTTCCATCCATCTTATTTGGATTAAGAATGGAAGGAAAAGAAAGAAAAAAACTGAATTTTTTGTTTGTATTGAAGAAGGAAAAAAAAAGGAAAGAAAAAGATCAAGTGTCAATTTACTGAAAAATAGAAAAAAATAAATTTTCAAAAAATTTTAAATTATTTCGGTTAATTTAGTTTCATTTTTCTCTATTTTTGCTCACTTTTGGACGGAAACCATAACTCAACAAAATAACTAGATTCATTCCCTCCCTTTCCCTTTCTATCCTTTCTTTTCCCTCCTCAAAAATCTATTCAAACAATAAAGACCAAATCTCTCCAATTCCTCTACTTTCCTTTCCCACCCATTCCCTCAATCCAAACAGTGCCTCAAACTTTTTTCTCTCATGACATGACAAATTTTGGAGAGGAAAGTGGTAAGAGAAGTGTGAATAACATATTGAGAGCACCATTACTCATATAATAATGCACTATTATGGTCTAAACTGTGAAAAAACAGTTAGTCCAAATAATGCCTAAGAAAAAAAAAGATGTCCAAGTTAACATTTACATATGCAATAATGAAAAGTCTTAAAAAAAAAGATGTCAAAGTGCGCAATTATATATGCAATAATGCAAAGTCTAAAATATCATACCCAAAAAAAGTGTAATTACAACTATAGTGTTCTTTACATGTGGATATAATATCACATATCGTTGAGAAAAATATTTCTTTCTTCAGTGTATGATTTCCTGCACTAATATATGATCCAAATAGGGCCTAGAACAAAATTCCCATGAAATATTCAGGGATACCTTAAAATAAGAGTTATACCATATCACACCAGTGAAGCTTTTAGTAGGTTAAAAAAAGTCCGCACGTTGAATTTTAATAGAATGCATGTAGTAGAGGAGGTTTTAGATCCTGTTTGATAATCCAATTCAACATTTAAATTTAATGACTATAGATCTTAACATATTTAGACGCGTTTGATAATAAAAAATTAAACATCTAAATTAATTAAGTGGTACTGAATTTTTCAGGCAAAACTTGCTTACAAAATTAAGTGATGAGTTATTCACTTATCACTGAATGTGATATGCACTCAAATGTATTAAATTTAATACTTAACAATTCAATAATTTAATAGATTCAAATTTTATATTTCAAATTTCAGACTTAAGTTTCATACTTCAGTTGTATCAAACACCCCCTTAGTCTTAGTGGTTAAAGCTAAGGCTGTAGAGTTTGGAGGTCTTGAGTTTGTCCCTTTTCTTTCTCTTTGCTTTTTAAATCACATCAATCCCTTGCTTCATTTATTTAAAAAAAAAAAAAAAAAGAGTGCATGTAAGCCAAAGCCCACCAATTACTTACCATCCCAACATGAAATCAAGGGCTCTATCTGTAGCCATTAAATTTTCATCCGTTGAATTATATGGCTCAAACCATATTGCGGCAAGTGCAATTCCAATCTTTCCCTTCTGCCATATCTGCATGATTAGCATCATATTAGCCAATCCTAAAGTCTTATACCTTAATTGTGAAAAAAATTCTTGTGGGTCTCTCTTAGGTTGAGTGAGACTCTCCTTGGTTTGCGTTGAGTGTAGTTTAGTTTACCCTGTATCTATTGTTGAAAAAAAAATTGTGAAAAATATCAGCATGCATGAGTACTAGGGGATTGATGAATTGAAACCTGATATTTGGTTCTGTACAAATGTACAACTGCTGCATGAGCAAGAAGTTGATTGTGTGTGACAATATATGGTTCTGTTCCTGAATTACCACCAGTGCAATTTATTTGCTGCCATTCAGAACATCGACCAGGTGCAAATCTACCAATTGCATAGCCATGATTACTGAAAGTCCATGGCTCGTTCAAAGTAATCCAATACTTAACTCTATCACCAAATTTGCTGAACAAAATATCAGCAAAGTCTCGAAAATCAGCCCTGTTTTGCATGTCAGAATAGCTTAATCATTATCTTAGGTGTAAATTACGATCAAAATGGACTATTGCAATAGCTCATTCTATTATAGAACTGGAGAGGAGTTCTAAGGCAAATATCTTTCAAGCCTTTGAACGCTCCTTTCCTTGTTGTTTGACAGTTTGGCAAAGAGTTATCACAGTTTGATGATCTGAAAATAACGTTTATTTTCCTTCTGATTAAGTGACAGCTGAATTCAGAATTGGATTAAAACATCCTGGATGTTGAAGTGTACCATTGTTCACGATTTTTTTAATGCAAAATGCTGTATATATCCTTCTTTCTATCTTCATCTAGTTTGTTATCCACAGAGAATTTTGTAGAACACATACATACATACAATCTCTGTGTATGCATAAGTACCTAATAGTTATCTTTGCTATCTTTGTATCTTTGTTATATAAGTACTTAGATAGTTTACGTTACTTTTAAAGGATTGATTTTATGTGTACTGTTCATGTATACACTATTGGATAGCTTAAAATATAGTTATGTTATATTACATATGTTACTTTTATAGTGGTCGATTGAGCTTTTGAATGTATCAATTGACCAATTAGAGTTTTAGATGTGCACCATTTTGGTTATTGGTTAAATTGTTTGTGTTATATCAAAGAAACTATGCAAGGCAAATTAACGCAATAATGCACTCCAAGAATGACCTAAGCAAATTAAAGATGTAACCAAAATATTACACTTTTGGAAGTTCAATGGCTGAAAAGTATTAAAAAGAAAATTTCCAGTATGCAAAATGGAACTTTTCAATAGTTTTATGACTACAAGTGTATCCGAACCTTGTATTATTTAAATCTTTTTGTTTTATTTACGAATTTTATTTCCCTTACAATGACTGACTGATATTTGTATTGTAGTTTCAGCTTTGAATTAACTATTAATTCGAGAAGTTCATTCAATTCTTCCTTTGTATTTACACTAATTTTCAACTGCTTGTAATGAACATGCCATCGTTGCTTAAAGCCAAGAATGGATATAGATTGGTAAAAGAAAAAGGATTAATCTTCTATATACACTGACGGTATATATACTTTTACCATTGGATGCATGACACAAATTCAAATTTGAATTTGAAATCCAGATTTTGCAAATATGTCGTGCATCCGATTGCTATAGTGTATACACTGTCATTGCATATAAGATTTACTTAAAGAAAAAAGGCCTTAACAAGTTAATTTTTCAATATTACCTATATAAAACATTTTCGTTGAAAAACTTAAAACCATGTGATTTAATGTTCCACTGATTATATGACTCGATTAGATTTTTTATGTAATTGACATAGACACAAGCATTCCTGTGGAAACAGATCATCACAGAAAGAAGTAGGAAATCAGTTTTAATTCATGTACTTACACAATTCGAAAACTTAAGAAGCCCCCATATGCATCTTCTAGGGCTTGAGGCATATTGAAATGAAACATGGTCACAAATGGTTGTATACCTGCATATTTATACATGCAATTATAGAAATTTTGGATGTATAATATATGTATCCTAGAAATTTGTATGGTATAGTATCTATTGTAGTCACCTAGCAGTTCCTTTTATGTGACTTTGGCTGTCATGTTTTCAAAAAAAAAAAAAAAAAAATCAATTTGGTTTGTCGTGCTCTTACTTCTCAACCAACTAAACAATTGACAACGATTCATGAAATTCATCAGAAATTTTGTAAAAACAGTTGAGGACAATATTGATTGGCTTGAGGTACACATTGCCACGCAATCTATCATTTAAGTACACAATTCTATAGAATTTACACTTGAAACCCAATGAACGAGTTTTCTAAGGCACTTGTTAGACATACCCTTTTTAGTATACCAAAATTTTCATGAATTTTAGTAACCATCATTACCATTGGCTAGTAAATCATTGATGATGTTGTTATAATAGTCAATTCCTTCTTGGTTCACTCCTCCATTTCGATTTCCTCCTGGTCAGGCCCAAAGGAAAGAGAAACTATCTCAAATATAAAGCCATAAAATTGCAGAGAATATGCATGATAAGGGTACTTTTGTTAATCACACTGGGAAGGACCATAGATAATAGATAAATTTCACTCACTTGGTAATATCCTTGACCATGAGATAGAGAACCTGTATGCATCTAGCCCTAAATCTTTTGCGATTTTTATGTCCTCCTACACGGCAATAGAGGAGAACATAAACAATGGCAAATATCCATGCATAAGCCATATTGTTAACCTTAACCAAAACTTAAGTTTTGATGTTCTCTTGCATGCATAAGCCACATTTTTACCTAAAATTTTTGTTACTAGTCAGTTCAAGGATTTATTAGATTAGTTTTTCTCTGTCGGAGTAAAGATTTATATTTGCAGTTGAGACTCTAAAAATTAAAAGTTTTGAGTTCTAATCTCTCTGTCCCTCCCTACTTTTTAAATTTCACTCCTCCTCTGTTGAAAAAAAAAAAAAGGAAAAGAAAGGGTCTGCATGCATTGGTAGATAATGGCTAAAATGAAAAGAAGTGAAAAGATGTTGCTATTTTACATCTTAGAAGTGCTGATGAAGAAATTACTTTGTAAATACCTCAAAATAATGATAGGAATTCACAGCAATATCTCCATTACTTTGGTCTACAATTTTCTCTGCAATTCCAATTGTACAAAAAATTTAGAGTTTGTGGAGCAAAGGATATTCTAGCCCAAAAACAAGAAAAGCTACCATAAGAAGAACAAGAAAAATGAAACGGTGCATGTAAAATTTACATCAACAAGGTGTATTGTCAAATGCTAAGTACAATAGGAAATTAATCATTATTTCAAAGTGAGCATTTTTGCACCTAATTAATTTTAAATTTAACTAACTATCAAATTTCTCTATTCAAAAAATTGATCAAGAAGTTATCGATCTAAAAAATAGGAAAAAAAAAACATAGCTAAGCGTAGAGTCTAAATTTAGATTGTTTAATTCAGATCATCACCTATGAATTTACATAGACACAGATCCATAGCCAAACCTAATGGGTATAAATTCATGCGCTTCATTACACCAAAGCCCAAAATAGATGGGCTCCATGCCATTACTTTTCTTCTAGCTATCAATCCATTATCTAATTTAGATAACCAAAATGTCTTAAAGTTAGGTCTTTCATTCGAGGCTACTAAGCCAGGTTGTGTTAAGTCCAGGTTTGGCTCACAAAAGAAATAAGAATTTTGGGCATTGAATTTGGGCTCTTTATTATACAATTCATACTAGGTCCACAAATATTGTTTTAGCTTTGATCAAACCTCACAATTCAATACATAATTGATTATAGCAAGTGATTTTATTTGTCTATTATTATATGATTATTTATAAATTATTAATTTTTAAGTTATAATCTGCATAATTACAGATTAGATATTATTATTTATATTTTAATACTTAAATATATAATTATCTGGGCTGGACCTTAATGGACCGAGCCTACTAATGCTCTGACTTAACCCACATCTAATTTCACCATAATCTATAAGGGCAAGCTATTGCTAGCCCAATTAAACATTAGGTTATTTTTTTTTTTGTCAGCAACGATGCATTTGTATAACTTACTCTATCCTAATCTAGGGGAAAGGGGAGCCTAAGGAAGCTGTGGTAGGGGACTAGTGGGTATACAGACCCAACTAGATCAAGGGAGTGCTCTGGCACAACCCTTAGATTTTTTTCGCTGCAGGTGAGGTTTGAACCCTCACCTACAGTCCAAGGAGGGACTTAAGCCCCTCTCTGGTGGCCACTGAGCTATTGGCCCAATGGTTAATTAAACATTAGGTTCAACTTAACCCTATTGACCATCTATACAATAATAAAAGGGGAGAAGTGGTATTTTTTTATTTTATTTTTTTTTTGTGGTCAAATGGCACTTGTCTACCCTACATTTGTCTAGCCTATTCTAAGGGAGGGAGGGAGGGAGGGGGGGCCAACTGGACCTAATGGCGAACCGACGGAGATCATCAGATCAGATAAGTGCACTACGCACCCGTATGGATTTAAGCCACATATAATAGTCCAAATGGCTTTTGGTTAACAAAAGTGGTAGTTGAAGTAAATATTTTGTATCATTTTTTGAACTTTCAATTTTACCCTTAAAAAAATTAATTTTTACCATAACCACCTAATAATATTTGCTAATATAATCTCCCATAACTCCTTTAAATATTGTAAATACCAAATTAATTACAACTGTATTAAAGAAAAAATTACTTAAAAATTGTAATTTATTTCATGAAGAATTTATAAAATTTATTTTTGTAACAACAAAAATTAATATATTCATAAAAATCAATAATTATTTTTAAACTGCATACAGATTGGGTGTGCCCTTAATACTAGTGTGTATGTATGTGTGTGTGTATATTATATATTAGTATGTAATATATATACTATATATGTTATATACTGTAATATAATATATATTATATATATACTAACTAAAACAATAAAACAAAAAACACTAAAACTAAAAGAACCAACCCATTATTCTAAAAAGTGAATATCCAAATCAGAGTTATGTCTAGTTAAACCCATTATCAAGAGTTTGTAAACCCAATCCAAATAAGAGTTCTGTCTAGTTAAATCTCAAACACATCTTTTTGCCATTTCCTTCATAATGCATACTATCTCTCTTGAACCGAAAAAAATATATAAAAAGCTAAAATGTCTATAAATTTTCTAATTATATCATCTTTTATTTGGTCAAGAATATCAACGGACTTAAAAAAATCGACTCTATCTAGAAATGCTTTTGTAGTGAATTTGCACGATACATTTGAATGGTGAAAAGAGAATTAAAATTTGAGTACAAGTTATGTGTCATATATTTGGATTCTTTGATATAAAATTTTTACACCTACACTGTAAGAAGCACTAATCCTTACATAATTTAGCAAATTATTTGTTTCTGATAAATAACACGCATTCAACATTCAGTTGATCAACTATAAGTATACAAGAAATTTTCACAATAGTTTGGGGATGTGATTTATTACAGGGGGAAAAAAAAGGAGTACAAACCCAAAGAGAAGTACCTGGGTATGCATGAGTGAAGTTATCCCACAAACTTGGACCTTTACCACCTTCATTATATGCACCTTCAACCTAAAACACAGAGAACATATACATATACATATATATAAAGCATAAGTTTTGTTTAATTTTGAATTGGAGTTATGTTACACAAACTTGTAATGAATATAAACGTAAACCTGAAAACATTTTCTATAAGAGGTGGCCAAATTTTCAAGATTCATGAAGTTTTGTAATCCATACAAAAACAAGCTCTACAAAATTTTTGCAAATTTTAAAGAGGTCAAAATCCCGGCTGTGTATTTGGAGTAAAATGAAACAAAAAGGGACAGAAACAAAGAGAACAGTGCATTTACCTGGTAAGCAGATGTTCCTGCACCCCACAAGAAATTTTCTGGGAAACCTCCACGGTTGATTTTTGCTTCATCACATTGACACTTTGCATCATTACTAGAAGCAAAGAGTGAGTGAGTAAGAGATAGAAGAACCAAGAAAAAATAGGCTTGATTTTGCATTTCTGATTTTGTCTTTGTATTCCTTCTTTCACTGCATAGGACTGCCTTTATAAGCTTCATCTTCTGAAAAGAACACGAGTCAAAAGTTTGACTGCATCAAAAGCAAAGACCTACAAAAGCGACTTAATAACCCTAAAATCAGAATGTTTGCCTCTTAGAAAACTACTAACTTGGTCGTATAAATTATCAAAAGAAACATATTCGTAATTGATCAAATAAGCCAAGTTGTTGGAAAGTGGTAGCTGTATAAAATTTTAAATAGTATATACGAATCCTAAACAACAGTAAATCAGACTGTAGTAAGAGCATCCACAATGCTATTACACTTTGTGGAGTGTAATCCACATGCCACGTCAGCATTCCACTTTCTCCTCTTTTATTACACTTTCACTCACAATGGATTACACTCCACAAGGTGTAATAGCATGGGTCCACAATTAATCAAATATTTATTTTAATAATGCATAACTCATATCCCATAAATAAATAAAGTAATTTTTAAAACTAATGTTGTTATTTTTAAAAAATAAAGTACTAACTTTCGTTAAATTTTGTACATTTTGAGCCTCCATAACCCATGCCAAAGTTATAATACCCCGATGTGTAATGATTTCCCATATTTGGATTAAAATAAGGAGGTGGAGGATACATGGGAATTGGATATGAAAAATTTGGCAGATTTTGAAAATTTGATGGATGATTGGAAGTGGATAAATTTGGGGGAAATGCATAATTTTGCACATTTGTAGGAATACCAGAAAATGGGTAATTTGGAAAATTTTGGGGGTTTTGATTTTGTGAGGATGATGAATTTTCTATATTTGGAGCATTTAACATATTTGTAAAACTACTCCAATTTTCATCCATAATCACAAAAAATGAATTAAATGAGTGAGAGAGTAGAAGTGTGTGAGAGAATAAAAGAAATAATAGAGTAGAATATTGGGATATATTTTAGTAAAAAGTGTTGTGTGTTTATATAGAATTCTAAAAAAATAGTGCCGTTGGAAATAATAGTGCCGTTGGAAATGTTACCGTTGCCATAGGAAATAATGTTGCCGTTGAAAATCCTCGCTGAAATTTTACCGTTGCCATAGGAAGAAAATTCAATGGATTACACGCATCACCTGTGTGATGCGTGTAATATCCATGACACGGCTCCACATTGGAGCCGTGTCATGGAGGGGTGTAATGGGGAGTGGAGCCGTGTCATGGAGGGGTGTAATGGCTCCCCATTACACCCCCATTGCAGCTGCCCTAAGAATAATCCCTTTCAATGGGACCTTTTTATATTATCTTTTTATTAGTTTAATCACCATTAGAACACTTTAGCTTTCAAGGGTTGCGCTTTGAATCTTATACTAAAGCAGCGGTCATATGGAAAAGAACTTGATGCCAAAGTAGATCTAATACTTATCTTGGCTTGAACAGTTTGAACAGTTTGAACTTTACATTGAACAGAATAGTTGCTTTACACTGTACAGTTTGAAGTGTAGATCTTTTACTTTTTGAATTGCTGCATTGGATGCTGAACATATAAATGATTTATGAACAAGATTGTGTATTCATGAGCAAAAATGTGATGTGATTGGGATATTTTGTGATATGAGAGCACATGATTTAGTTAAGCTCTGTATATGTATAGAATCTGTATGTAAAACAGTGTATATAATTCACCTTTTGCCTGTATGCACTTTACATCAACATGTTTATGCGGTATGATTGCTTCTATATATGGTTGTACAAGTTTATATTACATCTTTGTGAAACACTTTCGAAAAATAGTTTGACAGTGGTTTAGAAATGAAATTTGATTTTGAAAAATGAGAACTAGGACTATCAGCTTTTAATCAATGTTTTAAAAGGTGAAGGTGTTGAACTGGATATTTAATGTCTACCCAATCGATGCAAAAGTCCTGAGGCATGGGATGTAAGTCCCGCGTATTTTGATATTTCTATTATATAAAAAGATAAAAAATATAAGAATAATATATATATATATAATATCACTAATAAATACAAAAACTCGATAAAATGCAAGAAAATTACAGAAACATTATAAGAAAAGTCATAATCTTAAATTTTAATGCATTTTTGTTAAAAATTATGGGATTTCATGACCACAAAGTGTTCAAATTATAAGGCTAATGCTCAATTGCTTGAACCTATAACCTATGTCCGTTTCAAATTATGGGACATTTGAGGCTCTCTCCGCCCCAGGACTCCCTTGGGGCTCGCCCAGAAAACGCCTTTGAAAACATTGTTTGTAATGTTGTTTGCTGATTCCATGTGCTCATCAATCCCCTCTCCCTTTTATCCCTTAAATGAGTTGAGTTGGTAAATCCAAATTTTATTTGATGCTAGATTGTTTCTTTTGCTCTGGTAGCTACATGCATTATTTAGCCTCAAATTTGCAGTACAATAGTAATGAATCAGGTAATGTTCTTTTATCCATGCATCAAACAACTTAGGTACTTGATATGAACTCTCTGTACTGGAACATAACCTAAGTGTTTAAGGATAAAAGTGTGTGCATTATTAGTGTAGAACAAAAATATTACTCTCTTGTAAAACTATAAGTATAGATTGCAGACACATCCATGATGGAAAGCAACTTGCAACCATGTTCCTTCTTAATCTCCTTGGAAAAGTGAACATATTTACAGCCTCATCATGCACAAATAGTGGGAAAAAAATCCACAGACAAATCAGCCCTTAAATGAATAGACAAGAATCTTTTCAAGAATGTAGTAAAATGTTATTCACACTTCTGATTATCTATACAAGTCAATCAGCATCTTGGACTTTCAGGAGTTATATTTTGGAAAACCTGCAATCGGTTCCTCCGTAGTAAGTTTATGCCATTTGGAGTAGCGTGATGCCCTTCAAAAGGCATAGAGTTATCACACCCAAAATCCAAGGCTCTCTTATGCACTGGAGAAGAAAAGTCGTTTGCTGATACGTCTGGGTTCTGATGGACACCAAAAGACAAGGATTGCTCCATTGTTCCATCTTTGGACACAGTATCGTGGTGAGGCTGAGTGTAATAACCATCTCTCAGACTCAATGATTCAATCTTTTGGCTCAAATTCTGAGACTTGTCCAGAAGATCAGGAGTCTGAAGAACAATGTTTGTATTGAAGTTCTCATTGGAGAAGCCTTCTCTCCCTTTGAACTCATCAGTATACTTGCTTGGTGATCTGCAAGAAACAGGTTTGTTAAATGAAAATCCCCCTGTATGAACAGGAAAATCATGTGTTCCACTTTCTGACTTCTGCTCATCTTCTTCAACCATGTCAGCCCAACTCTTCTTGCTTTTGGAGGAATCACGAGACTCTTTTGAGTTTGTTGTAGACAGTTGCTGACTTGATTTCTGTTCTTTGCAATCATTTTTAGCTGCTCCTATCAATTCCCCATTATCTGCAGTCAAAGAAGTAGAACTCTGTTCACAATCTACATTGGAGAAATGCTTAACACTCGTTCTTTCACTATCAACTATTAACTCTGGAGGCATACTGCATTTCTCCTTGCACTCATCCTTGGCGGCATTCAGTTGCTCATCAGTTTCCAATACATTCATTTTGCACTCTCCATGATCCATAGGCTTCCAAGAAAGCTCACTGCTTGTTTTAGCATGATTCGGCAACATATTTCTCCTCCAATTTTCACTAGTTGATGCTTTTGGTCTTGATGTTTTGGGTTCATTATTTGCAGATAAGGAGAAAATTTTCTCATAATTATGGAGGCTCTCAAACTGCAACTTTTCGTGATTTTTATGCTGCTCAAATGACAATTTTCTATTGCAACCACCAGCTGCTTCCTCTGCAAGTCGGCCCCTTCTCTGATCTCCATTGGATGACCATAAGCATTTTCGTGGTTGGGTAAATAAATCCTTTGGATGTCCTGCAAGAGAAACTGGAGAGGTATACATCTTAAGTTGGCCATTACTGAGCTGATTTTCATTTCTTTTGTTTCCGCCATATCCTGAACGAGGGAAACTAAGGTCACTTTCTTTGTAATTCCAAAAACCAGCTCTGCCCTTCATTTCATTGTCCATTGACATCATTTTGTTTTGATGCAGAAACGATGACCCTTGAGACATTCCACCTCCTGGATGATCACTTTGACCCCCATTACTATCTCCAGATAATCCTATGACGTCTCTTCTTACACCTGATGGGAAAGGTGTCTGAGCTTCTCCACATATGCCTTCTTCCCATGCCATAGTTCTGACACTGCTTTGCTTTTCAAGGTCTTCCAGTATCTGAGTAGCGCGCTCAAAGGATTTACCATATGATTCATCCATTTGCTCATTAATGCATGAAGCTCTTACAGATTGAAGCAAAAATTTAGCTTCTGCAGTCTTGTTTAAGTATATCAAGCAAATTGCCAGGTTGCACTGCTTGTTCTTATCGGGTTCAAGTGAAAGTGCTTTTCTGGGAACAAAGAATTAACTTGTTAGAAACAAGCTAAACTAGACACGTGTTATTTGCATGTACATGTGTGTACTCAATGCAAGAAAACGTACCTATAACTCTCTTCTGCAGATTTATAATCCTCTAGCTGCAATTGCCCCCAAGCCAAGTTACCTAACAATCTGTTCAGAAGTTTCCAAATTCCAGGAATCAGTCATATATGTATGTAAAATAAATCCTTTTAAGCAATGAATGCATTTATAGAACATAGATATTCACCTAGAGTACTCTTTCTCAATTGTGACATGTATTTTCTTCCCTTGAGATCTGGCCATCTTTGTCCTCTTCCCATCAAAAGCAATGCCATCTTCAATATTCTTGATCTTATGTTCTAACAGCTGTATCTCTTCTTCAATCCTACCAGATCTCTGAAGGTAAATGAAAATGCCCGACCAACACACACATCTTAGTCACAAGAAAAAAGGGAAAAGAACATATGCCTAATCAAACTGGCAGTACAACTCAAGCTTGGAAGATGTACACTGCCAAAAAAAGCAAAAAAGGTCCTGTTGATCAAGCAAGTGTCAACGACACTTTCCACCTTAGGTGAAATAACAGATGGTCAGTTCTCTATTTCCCTTCTCCTCATTAGATCCATTCCATTCCTTTTTTTTTTCTTTTTCTTCATTCCATTTCAAGTTAAACCTAAAAGTGAAGATATTGAAAAAAGCTACTCAAGGACATTTAAGCAATTTATAGATCCATACAAACTCTCCAGAAGTAGGACTCATGATCTTTTTATGACCTTATCCTGAATGTCATGTAAACAAACGTAGTTGGAGCCAAAAGCAGTAGATTCAGTGCACAAACAATTCGATGTAAAGAACCTTCTCTAGTTTCTCTGCAAATATTGGTTGATAGAAGAGAATATAGGGAAAGAGAAAAGCAATGAAAGAAGGGACAGAAATCTTATATTTGGTTTCATCTCACCTTGTAAAGTTCGATCAACACATTATCAAGAGATTCTTGAGATTCAAGAGGGCAAAGATGTCGGAAAGATTTAATTGCTTCAATCGCTTCATCTGACCGATTCAATTGTTTCATTACTACTGCCATGTCCTTGAGAGCACTATCAACTCGATCACCAGCATTGATTGCCGCCCAGAACAGAGAGACGGCTCTGCTAGGATCCTTGTCTATCACCTATATATGAGAATTAAAAGCACCACATTTCAAAAGGAGAAAAAATCAAGAATCTTTACATTTTCGCAATGCAATTTCAAGCTATTCTTAAGTCACCCGTCTCAGTACATAAAGAACACGGCAATTGCACGTAACTGTAGTGGTGGAATTAGCATACTAGAATTTCATCAAACATATGACAGAGAATGTCTGATTGGAAGTTTTCCCAAAATGTGACTCAACTCATTGACCTATTGAGTAGAATCTACACATTAATATAGCAAAATTGGGAAAGAGAATCCGTCCATAGCGCCTATCCAAAAATTAATTCCTTCATCAAAAATCTACATCTACGAAACTTGAAATTCAACATAGAGAAAAAAAGACAGGACAATTCCTATTCCCATAAACTGCATCCTTGCTGGAAAACAGATATTATCAGATGTTGTAAAGAACCAGGGTTCAACAAAGATAATGAACCCAGATATCAGAGTTCAAGAACAAACAATATTTGCAAAATATACCAACCAAAATTGATTCTTTCAAATTCTATACTAAATCAGCAAGAACGCAAGATTGAACCCAAATCAACGAAAATTAAAATCCACTTGGGATTTTAGAAAAACTGGGAACAAACCTGGACATGTTTGGCTTTAACATAAGGCGAGTCTCCAGCAGGAACTTTATGAATGACATGAAAAAGATCAGTCTTGAGGCCCAAATGACCATTCCCTGAACTCCATGGTTTCCTTTCTGTACGTGGCATCACTGGCACACACCGATTTGATCTCCATTTTGGTGGTGGAGTCAAGAACCCTTTTACTTGACAATTCTTCTCAGAATTACTCATCACTGATGCAGACTCAATCCACAAAATTCTTCAAAAAATGTGATCTTTGTTCAATCTTTAGAATACCCTTATCTTTTTTGCGAAAGAAAAAGGTCTCTTGATTGAAACTCCCTCAGATTTTCTTTCTGAATTTCTGGGAAAGCGATTTTATGAACCCTTTTACAATATGATCAAGAAAATGGTTTTAGTTCGACAGAACAGTATTCTGCTAGACGAATATTTGAGGATTGAAAAGTTTCAGTGAAAAACAATACAATGAAGAAAGGTGATTATGGAAAAGGAGAGAAGAATTAAGTGATTCAAAAGTTTGAAGTGCATGAGGGATGATGATTGATCAAAAGGGAAAATGTGTGGGGAAGAGAACATAATAAGCATCCAGAAAGCGGAAGGGAAAGAATTAAAAAAACTAGCCGTTATATATATGCGAATGTTATTTACAATTTGCGACTATGAAAGAAGACACGTGCGGGTCACATGAAATGTGAGACACGTACCCCCTCAAATCAATGTCGTTAAACTCGGATCGGACAGCGATTCAGTTAAACTATTGGATTAGAGAATAACTAGTCGGATCGGTTGGATCGTTTTAAAAATTCTTTGACATTAACATGATGTCATAATTATTTTATATTTTTATAAATTTCAGAAATATTGAAATTAAGTTATTGGTTATATCACCAACCAAACAAATTGTTCCAAAAATATTAGACTTGCAATCAAATATACACCTAGAAATTATATATAAAAATCTAAATTCATGGGTAAAAATATATCTATTCTCCAAAACTATTTAAAAAATTAAATTAAAACAAATTAATGTAAGTTGGAATCACTGATACTTATTTGATAAGATAATAAGGGTGAAATCTTCTTGATTTAGAAATCATTTAGAGAAGCAAGTGATTTTAGTGATTACACTAAGTAGGTTATTTTATTTTATTTTATTTCTATTAATTAATGAAAGTTTTACAATTTAGGTAACTCAAATTATGTTTGGGAAAAACCAAAAAGAAAAGTTTGAAAATCAAGTCAACCAATTAATTCGGGTCACTGTTTTAACCGATTTTTGGCCAAAGTAGTTTTGTGCTACAAATCAACAATATTGGTTCAAACCCCTAACTAGCACTTGTTCGCTTTTTTTTTTTTTTTTTTTTATGTGTAAGTGAAAATACTCGAACCCAATATCTTTCATTTATATTCTTTCCGATCGAACCATTCAATCCATCGCTGGTTCAGACTTGGTGGGCTTTATTCTCTTTTACCTCTTGGTATGTGAACGGTAATGGTTAACCCGCCCTTGAGTAGTGGAGGGCTCAATATGTCGGTGAGGGACTAGAACCCTCCAACCTAGCACCGAAGAGGGACTTAAAATTCTTGCCCGGGCTTCTTAACAATTTAAGGGATCAGAAAAGAAAAAAGTTCAATGAAAATGTAAGATGAGAACGTTGCTCTTTATGATTCGTGACACCTTCAACGGAGTTGCTAATTTATAAATATTTGTATCACGGATGTGAAATTTCAAACTCACTCGTAAATATCGACTTGTCTTGAACCACACATTTTGAATTTTAACTTTATTGGCCAAATCTAAACAGCAAAGGTAGAAATGGTTGAGTAGGTGAAAGTTTCGTTGAGTCCAGTTCTTGGAAGGAACATGGACTCAAACTTTCAATTGTTTGGGTAGGTTGCCGGTCATGATTTGGTCAAAATTTTGAAATTTGGGACAGCAACACACTCAGCAATTCATGGCATTTTAGATCGAGTTATAATTTATGACAAGATGAGTTGCACAAGTTCGCATCAGGAATGTGATATGTTCAAACTCATTGGTATATCTTAGTTTGTCTAGAATCCTACATTTTGAAGTTCCATTTTGTCGGACAAATCTTGAATACAAAAGGTAGAAATGACTAAAGATCCGTTTGGAGTTGCGGTAGTTTAGTGAAAAATATTTCATCAACGGAATTTTTGATAAAAGTATTTATTCAGTGTTTAAATATTTTTAAGTATATTGTTTAGATATATAATTCAATAAATACTTATTGTATTAGATAATATGTAATTTGAAAAATTTTAAATGTATTTATCTTTTTATTTGATTCATAATATAATATAAAATGATTAAATTTAATATTTTATTTTTTAAATCACAAAAGCTATTTTAAAAGCATCAAGTTTAAACTTCTGCTAAAAATGCTTTGAAGATCAAAAGCTCCACTCCTAATTTTATGAGATGATATTCACCGAAGCAAAAGTCTCAAAAGTACTTTTAGCACTCAATTTTGGAAGGGGCAAGATCTAGACTTGCAATTTGGCCTTCCATTTTAAAAGGGACAAGACCAAACCTAGTAATAAGGTAACATCCAAAATTTTATAGTAGCACAAGTTCTAAGTTATGACTTATAACTCTATTTATTAGTAGGTTAGTATAAAATATAATTCATTAGTAAGGATACAAAACATATAAAATTCGGTAATTTGACAGATAATCTGTAGTTCTTGAATTGAATTCCATTCCCAAACTTGTTTTACCAACTTCTCAAATTTGGATATCAACCAGTTTTACAAATATCTGATCTAAATTGCATCCCTACTTGTAGTCGATGAAATCAGGTTTTCTCCATAAATGAGAAAATTACTTCTAATCCATTTTGTGAAAATTAGCACTACACTGTGGCTGGGGAAGCAATTCCCTTGGGACAGTTTAGATTAGATATACAAATTTGGACAATAAGATTTTTCCAGTTAAGTTATTTTTTCTAAAAATCTCAATTTGACATGTATAGTGCACTTTAATACCTATTACAGCACAAACATTTCTCACTATCTTTGGAAATAAATCGCACCTATGTAAACATCACTGCCCACTATATCCATAAGAGTACTAAAATATAAGCACAAGGTTAATAGATTATCTAGTAAATCTAAGGGTCATTTTCTATGATGTAGTCAAGATTGTGATTGTAAGATCTTTCACTCACTGAGCAATAACCATCCTGAAAACTTCCTGTACCCAGTGAACTTTTTCTTGTCCTCTCCGGTTGTTCAAGTTCTGCTGCTATTTCCTTCATGGATGGCCTTTTCCGGGCATTAAGTTTTAGGCATCTTTTTGCAAGCTTAGCAACTGCTATAATCTCCTATGCTCGGCCTTCATCTGCAACTATCTTGTCTCCAATTTCAAGCAATCGATTTTCCTTCATAGATGTCCGAAATTTGATGACCAAACCTTCATCCGAATTACTTGAAGGGATAACCTTTTGCCCTGTTACTAGTTCAGCAAGAACCACCGCGAAGGAATAAACAGCCAACGGATCTTCTGTTCCACACCTTACGCCATTTTCTGTCCTACTTTTTATTATATTGCTATTTCTCCTACATAAATATCATGTTTTAGTTCTTTTTTGTTTCTTTAAGATCCAATAACTATTAACTGAGTAATACAAAAAATTTAACAAACTCAAAAAATCAAAATTCATAAAAAATGAGATTTTTTTTATGAATTTTCTGCTGTATTTTTTAATTTTCTACTATATATATTACTTTTTTGAAGCTGTTGTATTTATTTTTTATTCAATTAATAGTTATTGGATTTTAAGGAAATAAAAAAGAACTAAAACATGATATTTATATAGGAGAAATAGCAATGGAATAAAAAGTGGGACAGAGAATGACATAAAGTATGGGACAGAAGATCCGTTGCAGAATAAACATCATATTTATCATTAAGTGGCCCTGTACTGAAGTAATCAGGGTCCAAGTGTCCGATTGTGCCTCCAACCACTGTAGTTAAGTGTGTTTTATCAATGGGAACTGACCTCGAAATGTTGAAATCAGAGACAACAGCCCTGTATTTCTCATCTAACAGAATATTGCTCGACTTTATATCCCTGTGGAAAATTGCTGCAGAAGCGTAGGAGTGCAAATAAGGGAATGCTCCAGCAATTTCTGTAGCAATGACTAAACGGTTATCCCAAGAAAGCATTTCACCGTCAGG